CCCAGTGCCCTTTTTCCTATTTTCCTTGTATCCTATTATTGTCAAATAAAAAAGTTAGTTGTGCTGTTCATCTCATAAAGCTGAGCTCAGGGAAGTGAGAGACTGAGGGACAATGTCCCCTCCAAGCCTTCTTGCTGTATAATGAATGAATAACATCGTAAGATGTTTAAAGTGATAATCTGATATATGTCTACCTTTGTGAAGGGTTTCTCTCCAAGTAAAGTACCTGGGACAATGTTTAATTAAATTTTTTGATGCAGCAGGTGTTTGTTGGGTGGATACATGAATGGAGAATCAGCAAATATGAGTATTCTGGAAACTAGAAAGCACTATACACATGTAAATTTGTATGGTTTTCTTTCCTGCTCGTACTAGGCTGAACTCACGTTCCACTTCCTGACACCAACTTTGACTGCCCCGTTCCCTGCTCGCATCTCTATTCTTTGAACTTGTATTTTGTTCATTGTCTGCACTTACATGCACCTTGTATTGTATCTTTTAAGTGTAGGAATGTTGTCTCTTTAAGTAGATTCATTGTCTGGGACAGAGAAAAGAAGTCCAGCCTTTTTATTTTCTTAAGCTCTGTGAATGCAATGCCTAGCCTATCACAATGGCTTCACCCATAGACAAATGGGCAATAGATATTAATAGAGTGATTGGATATGGATTGACTGGAGCAAAACCACACAACCTCCATGGGGTTTTAATCTCCAAACAACCAGGCTTGTACTAATGATCCCAATGTCTTTCCCTCCACATAACGAAAGATCTCAGGGAAAGGAGTAAAAAGATCTTCCCACCATTGCTGCAGCCTTATTATTACAATAAGTAGCCTTTTCACTTGCCATTTTCAGGGACATGCTTAGCAGCTTTCTCACTGTTAGAAACTACAGGGGGGTTGGTACGGCATTGCTGGCAGTTCTCAGATGTTTCTTCTCTAGTAGCTCATTCATCCCTTAGGGAAGGGAGAACATCAAACTCATCAAATCGGGCCAATCTGTTGTCAGTAGGAGTCCAAATACAGGAGAATGTCACAGTCCAAAAGGCACTTTGACTGTGTCATTCACAGGTAATTATGCAGTGTCCCCCTTGCATGGTACTGTGACACAAACATTTATCCTGTGTAATCAGAATAAAGTGATGTATGAGAACTGACTTGAGCCCTGGCTGGCGTAGCTCAGTGGATTGAGCGCGGGCTGCGAACCAAAGGGTCACCGGTTCAATTCCCAGTCAGGGCACATGCCTGCCTTGCAGGCCAGGTCCCCAGTGGGAGCCATGTGAGAGGCAACCATGCACTGATGTTTCTCTCCCTCTCTTTCTCCCTCCCTTCCCCTCTCTCTAAAAATAAATAAATAAAATCTTAAAAAAAAAAGAACTGACTTGAAGGGAAATGCAAGTCACAAAATGGCAATAGTGATCTTGAGGAGTACATGCATGTGTGTGGGAGTGCACAGTGGAAGAGAGTTTGATCCTTAGCCTGGGTGGTAGAAATGTGTAACAGACAGCTAACATACCTTTGAACTTATAAAGCACTACCTTCTTCCGGGGATACCTGTATAAGTCTCTGCCTTATTATCAGAAACTTGGAATCCCTGTAAGTTCTGCTCATAGCCAGCTCTGAGGACTGCCTCTAACTTCTTGGTATTTCGATGCCTTGATCTTGGAAGGAAAAGAATTATTCTCTTACAGGGGTGTCCAACTTTTTGGGCCAACTCTGGGCACACTGGAAGAAGAAGGGTTGTCTTGGGCCACACATTAAGTATATTGTGAAACATAATCACAAAAAAATTCTTATCATGTTTTCAGTAAATTTACAATCTTGTGTTGGGTTGCATTCACAGCCACCCGGGACTGCATGTGGCCTGCGGGCTGCGGGTTGGATACCCCTGTAGGAGATTGCTTTTGATTGAAGGTCCTCGTCTTAAACAAGAATTCAAATTTAAGTTAAATGGAAAGGGTAACCGATTTGGAATGAAAATAAGCTTTTAATATCTTCTGAGGCCTGAACTGCATAGGAGCTTTGACAGAGCATGTGTCAGAGATGCTGATGTGTTATTGTTAGCTTCCTTCCATGTACCGTGTTGAATCCATGACAACACCAAAACAGCCCTATGTAAAAACAGAGGCCATCAATGTCAAGTAGATGATAAATCACAAGAAGTTTTATATGTCAGACATCTCAAAATGTGATTCCAAACTAGATTTTTTTTCCTTTTTAGGGAAAAGTGGTTGGATGAAAAGAAAAGAAAGCCCACATATAAGGGGACATATAAGGGGACTATAAGTCTGGACCTCGGCTCCATTTCCTTTTCCATTCTCCATGCTGCTTACGTAAGAATAACTTAGCATTTATTGAATGCTCATGGTGTGGATGAAGCCCTGTGCTAGTTCTTGTAGAGAAGGGGGGATTTAAAAAGAAGAAGTAACCTGATACCTTCCCTCAAGATGCTTGCTATCTTTTGAGAAGAATTGTATTTCTGTGGCTCTTATTTGTTAGGACCGTCCTCTTCCTCTGGCCTGAAAATGTAGGCACTGCACAAATTTCAGTTATTGGCCCATGTTTTAGATTTACTGAATTTAACTTTTAAATGTAGTTGAGCCATTTATATGATCTTGGCAATCAATCACACTTCCCAGATGTAACTGTGGCCTGCACCTCTTCTCCATCATTCACATTTGGGGTCATTCCTTCCAACCAGTCATAAGACATTGCTTTTTGGAACTGGCTGGTGTGGCTTAGTGGGTTGAGTGCCAGCCTGCAAACTGAAAGGCCGGTTTGATTCCCAGCCAGGGCACAAGCCTAGGTTGTGGGCCAGGTCCCCAGTTGGGGGAGCGTGAGTGGCAACCACACATGGGTATTTCTCTCCCTGTCTTTCTTCTTCCCTTCCTCCTCTAAAAATAAATAAATAAAATCTTTAAAATCTATCTACTCTCAGAGATACTCACTTCAGGTGGGTTACCCTATCAATAAATAAACAAAGACGTTGCTTCTTGGAAATTTTGCCATCTCCTCAAACTCAATAGGTCCAAGCAGAACTAATCATATCCTACAATTCCCATTTCTGCCCTCGAATTACCTATTCCTAGGAATAGTAGTAGCACCACTGCCCAGATCCCACAGGTTCCAAATTTCAGAGATGTCTCTGGCTTCTTTCCTATGCTGCCTGTATCTAATCCCTCACCAATTTCCCTCTATGATTCCTTATGGATGTCTCTTGGGTTCCTCGATGGTCCACTTCCACTGCCATCCACCTAATCTAGAGCCTCGTTATATTCTGCTCTGTTAGTGTTCTCTCATCTCCAGTTCTCTCCAGGCATAGTCAAGTTATGAAACTCATCTCCTCAAAATATTTTTTATCACCTATTCCAAGTTTGCTAATGAGATTTCCCATTAAAAAGTACCTGGAATTAAAGGTCGAATAAGCTTGTCTTACATTTCTATCCAGATTCATTTTCTGTGATTCCTCAACTCAATCCCTTCATGTAGCCCGATCAGGCACCTTGGTGTGTCCTGCAGGGCCACGTGTAAATTCCCCAAGCCTAGGGCCTGCAGCTTACCTTGCTTGGTGCCACAGACTGTACTGTGCTTAGTCAACACTTATTTAACTAGATTACAATGTATTTGACAAATTGTAATAAGAACATAAGACATAGCCAAATAGGTCAGACTAGTGATCCACACATCTATGTTATCTGAACAGTTGTGATACTTACCCTTCATGCCATTAGCTTCACAAGGTTGGATATGCACCTTAAGGATCATTCCCTTTAACCCCTTAATCCCAATGATATAGCAAAGGCAAATTGATAATTTCCTGTACCATGGAAAACTCTTGATTTTTGTAGCAGATAAGTAGTTCTTCAACACGTCAAAAGTTTGATTAAAGATAGCAGGGAAAAGGTAGTAGAAAATGAAATTGATAGTTCCAGGTTAGAAAGACAGAAATACTGGATTCTAGCTGAGACTCAGTCTGCAAACTTTCATTAGCTTACCATTTTTGGGGGGTTCACGGCTCCTAGCCTGATTGATCTTCTTTGCAGGAACTCATGGGCATGCAGTGCAGTCCCAAGTCCAGGTTTAGTTACATTTAGTTTTAAATAATCACCTCATACATATATGGTATCATGGCCCCTCTCTAGATTTCAAAACAACTAGAGCAATTCGGGGCAGAGAGTTGCATTCAAAAGTCAAGTGTTTTCCTTTTTTTTTTAGCTACAAATGGAACCCACTAAGCCATTTGTTTACTCTTAAAAAGAGCTTTTTGCTGTCCAGTATAAAGAATGGTCCTGGCCAATGATTTTGATTGGAATGTATGGAGTGCTGGCACTGTGTAAACCCACTCTGTATCATATATGTCTTAAGATGCTAACCAGATCATGCAATTTCCTTATATTCATTTATAGTGTTGAGAGCTTTCTATTTTCAGTCCGTAGTGCCAATTTGCCAGTTTCTAGTTGTGTGGTATGTTTCCAGAATATTTCTTCACTTCTCTGAGTCCCTTTCCTTATTTGCAAAACAGGGATCGTAAAGCTTACCCTTTCTAAATAGCATGATATTGACAGGTTCAAGTTAGGTAATGAAGGGGAAACTACCTTGTGAAAATACCAGATAATTCTCTACTTTTTTTCCCCCTTTAGCTGTCACTATATATTTCTTTCAACATTGAAGGAAACTGCCACTACAGATTAGAGAAACTCCATGAAGTCCTTAAAATAGGATTTGAAAATACACCTTAACATTTTTGACTTAATTGCAAAGCTGCTGGAGGCTTGGGGAGTGTCCCCTCTGTATTTTGCAGCATTGAGCCCCTACCTAGCAGAAGCACTGAGCAACACTTGTTGACAGACTGATTAGATTATCACATTTCTGACCAATACATAAAGCAGTCCAATTGAAAGCACGTAGGACAGATCCCCAAGCTACCAGGAATTTGCTAAAATCAGCAAAATTTTACTACATACGGTTCTGGTCCTTGCATGGAAACATTGAATCTCCTTACCTGCACAGTTCAAGGCTGACACTTTAGGGTCCTTTTGCTTTTGTTCTCAGAAGCAAACTCCAAGTCTTCAGTAAATCCAATGTACCTGTTTCTTGCACAGCTAAGCCGTCATTGGTGATCTGCACAGTGGATCTAAATAATCTGCAGGACCCTGAGAGTGTACTTCATTCACAGGGCGCCTGCTCTTCAGGCAAGCTTCTTTGAAAAGATGGGCTGCTGCTGTCTTTGAAGAGCGGAGGGGGCAGGGCACATGCTAGTCAATGTATACAGATCCTTCTTCCTCTTTCAGATTGGTCTTCAAACTGTTTAAAGCATGGGTGAGTTTGGCTCCTCTGGTGCCAAATGAGGGAGGGGTAGGGTGAGGGAGGGTGGAAGGATAGGAACTGGGGACTTGGAGGTTATTGTGTGCTTTTATCCCTAGCACCAGCAACAGAGTCCTCAGGAAATCACACAGCTGCTCTGAGATGGGAAGCAGGAAGGAATGTACTCTGTCCAACGTAGTTCTCTCTGATTTTTATGACCGGGCGGCGGCGGGGCGGGGGGGGGGGTGGTTAGACTATTTGTAGGCAGAGAAAGAAGATAGACTGATCTAACTGCTATTATGTGAAACTTGATTTTAGGCAAGATACATTCTTTCTCTCCCCCCATTATAATACTTGTGATGCCATCCACATTCTAAAAAGGCTTTTCCTTTCTGGTGGTTTATTTCCTGGAAAATAATTGCCTTAGTTTGAGCTTGGTTTTCTGAAACTCCCACAACAGAATTGCCTCCACAGAATTAAAAGTGGGTTGCCTTCTGTCACACTGAGAATGATCTGGAATGACTGGGCTTGTTGTCAGCAGACCTGGGTCAAGAATTTGGAAGCCAGGTTAATGATGCTCTTGACCTTTGGGTAGACTCTGGGGTGTTGAACTATGGGATGCTCTCCCTGGCTTCTGGAGAATAGGGACGTGACACTCTGCTGTGTGCTTATTTGAGCTTGGAATAGCATCTTGAGGTCATGAACCAAACGGAGAGGCCCTGATGTGAGTTGGTTACATCAGTTATATTGAATTATAGTATATAAGATGGTCTATGGAGGGATAGACATATTTATGTTTGTTTTAACACGTTAAAAACTGGCCCAATAACTACTAACTAATTTCGTTGTACTCAGTACAATGTGAACCCAGCAACATCTCTGTGGCCTGCTGCCTGCTGGGGGGATGAACCCATGTACTCAGATTCCACATCTGTGGGTACCAGAATGAGCTCACGGCCAACCTGGAGCCAGGGCTCTAAGGTTTTGGAAATATTCATCTTTGTTCATAGAATTCATTGTCATGGTAGTAGTTGGGGGGAAGGGCCAACAAACCAAATTAAAGGGGGAGATAACATTTGGACCCAAGACCAGACACTTTAATCATCCATGGAGAGCTTTACTAACTACAGGGACATTATAACTTAGATTTCTTCAGCTGTAGCTGGATTCCCAGGCCTCTAGGGGAAGTTCATATGGGAGATAAAGGGTGAGCTGTTCCTTCTTCTTCAGTCTGGACTGTTAGCCATCTTGAGGTATGGTGGAAGCGTAGTTCATATTCATGTAAGGCAAAAAAAAGGAGAAAGGGGCTAGATCCTTGACTTTCAAGATGGCACCACAACAGCTATGGCAGAGACGGGATGCTCTGTGTTGCTTCTGTGTCGTCCCCTGCTCTCTTCCTTCCTTGGTTGCTTCTCTGCTTTCTGGGTGATGGGAAGGGCATAACTCCACCCATCCCCAGGCATCAGATTTTGCTGTGCTTCATGTACACATTTTTGCCCAAATTTTTGAGGGAAAACTAAGGATGCGCATTATACATGGATAGTACTAATTCTGTATCTCCAGAAATGTTTTTAATTCTTTTATTTATGCTTATGCATTAAAAGTGTAACTCTGGAAAGCAATAATGATATCCATATGCAAAATAATACCCTTGCATCTGATAGTTGGTTTGGTTTCTAAATAAAAGTAAATAAAATATTGAATTAAAAATTAAAACGAAAGATTTTTTCCCTGGAGGTTTGTGCCACAAATGTAGGTGCGCTTTAGACATTGCAAAATATGGTAGGTCTTTGCCTTGTACAGTTGTATCAATTTCTACCATGTTTACTATAATTGACAGCAGATTTTAAAACATCTCCTTTCCTTACCTTTCTGTCCTTTTCTTTTTTTTTTGCACATCTTCATTACATACTTATCTTCACATTTCCTGTTATTTCAGGAAATGGTGACATGTCCAGACTGATACCTATCTGCTGCCATCTCTCTACTCTTTCTCATTTTCTCAGACTCTTTCAGATATTCCTTTATTATTGCGGTAGAGAGTACCAGGCAGGGTAATGGTGATGGAGGGGGCAATAATATGTAATTCAATGGGGATTCTTTCTTAGTGAAGTATGATTTGTTCTTTTTAAAAATTTTTATTGTTTAAAAAAATTTATTGCTGTTCAATTATACTTGCCCTCATTTCCCCCCACATTACTCTCTGTGCCCTGCTCACCCCGACTTCCCACATTCAATCCTCCCACCCCGTTATCTTTGTCTCTGGGTCCATTATACATGCTCCTTGACTTGACCCTTCCCTTTCTTTCCCCTAGTATCCCACTCCCACCACCCCAACACCCTGGTCACTGTCAGTTTATTCTTTATTTCCACGTTTCTGGTTATATCTTGCTCGCTTGTTTGTTTTGTTGATTAGATTCTACTTATAGGTGAGATTATATGGTCTTTGTCTTTCTCTGACTGGTTTATTTCACTTAGCATAATGCTCTCCAGTTTCATCCATGCTGTTGCAAAGGGTAAGAGTTCCTTTGTTTCTGCTGTGTAGAATCCCACTGTGTAAATGTACCACAGTTTTTTGATCCACTCCTTTACTGATGGGCACCTAGGTTGCTTCCAGCACTTGGCTATTGTAAATTGTGCTGCTATGAACATTGGGGTGCATAGGTTCTTTTGATTGGTGTTTCAGGGCTCTAAGGAAATAATCCCAGCAGTGGAATTGCCAGGTAAAAAGGCAGTTCCATTTTTAATTTTCTGAGGAAATTCCATACTGTTTTCCACAGTGGTTGCACCACTCTGCATTCTCACCAACAGTGCACTAAGGTTCCCTTTTCCCCACACGTTGCCAGAATTTGTTGTTTGTTGATTTGTTTATGAGGGCCATTCTGATAGGTGTGAGGTGATATCTCATTGTGGTTTTAATCTGCATCTCTCTGATGGCTAGTGATGCTGAGCATCCTTTCACATGTCTATGGGCCCTCTGTATGTCCTCCTTGGAGAAGTGTCTGCTCAGGTGCTTTGCCCATTTTTTAATTGTATTGTTTGTCTTCCTGGTATGGACTCATGTGAGTTCTTTTTATATATTTTGAACATCAAACCCTTGTCCAAGATATCATTGCAAATATATTTTACCATACAGTTGGTTCATTTTCATTTTGCTGATGTTTTCTTTAGCTGTGCAGAAGTCTTTTAATTTGATGAAGTCCCATTTGTTTATTCTTTCCTTTATGTCCCTTGCTTTAGGGGACATATCTGTGAAAATATTGCTGCATGGAATGTCTGAGATTTTCCTGCCTATGCTCTCCTCTAGGACTTTTATGGTGTTATGACCTATACTTAAGTCTTTTATCCATCTTGAGTTTATTTTTGTGTATCGTGGAAGTTGGTGGTCAGGTTTCATTTTTTTGCATGTAGTTGTCCAGGTCTCTTTATGCCATTTGTTGAAGAGGCTATTTTTACTCCATTTTGTCGTCCTACCTCCTTTGTCAAATATTAATTGACTATAGAGACTTGGGTTTATTTCTTGGCTCTCTGTTCTGTTCCATTGATCAATGTGTCTGTTCTTATGCCTGTACCAGGCTTTTTTGATTACTGTGGCCTTGTAATATAATTTGATGTCAGATATTATGATCCCTTCTACTTTGTTATTCTTTCTCAAAATTGCTGAGGATTTTTTGGGTCATTCATAGTTCCATATAAATTTTTGAAATATTCTGTATGTGTGAAATATGTCATTGGTATTTTAATAAGGATTGTGTTAAACCTATAAATTGCTTTGGGTAGTATGGACATTTTGATGATGTTAATGCTTCTGATCCATGAATGTGGTATATGCTTCCATTTATTTGTATCTTCCTTAATTTCTTTCTTCAATATTCTGTCTTAGTGACGTATGATTTGGGTCACAGGTTAAAAGATTTTCATTCATACAACTTTCAAAACATTAACGATGTCATAGGATTTATAGATGACATGAACTCAGAGAGAGGAAAAGGCACCTTGAGAAATCATTTTGTTTAGACACTTTCTTCAATTGAGTTCTTGAGCGTATGACAGGTTTCCAGCTCATTGCATCCCTAGCTGTTAGCTCATTGTCTTGTTTGGTTTGTCAGGTCAATAGACCTAGTCCAACTCTCTCAGGGTACAAATGAGGAGACAGGCCAGAGAGAAAGAGACTTTCTCAAGGTGCATTTGTTTCACCACAAAATAGAAGAGTCTTTTTTTTTTCTTTCTAGAGCTGAAATTATTCTACAATCAATAGTAATGGCACTGTGGAGAGGTAGGTAAAGAGGGTTACTATACCCATAGCTCAGATCTATACATGTACATTCGTTCACAAAGACTGGGATTGCCTTGATTCACCCTTTAGTCCCAGCTTATGAAAACCCAGAGACAATGAAAAGTATCAGTGTAGCTGTGAAAATATTGCTCTCTACACTTTTGCTCTTCCTGCACCAGAGCCTGCCCAGTGCATACAAAGCAATCCTGGCTTATCATTTGTGGTGAGACCAGGGTGCCCCGACTGATCATTCTGAATGTCTTTGAATGAATCTTATAGAACTGAATAGGTTAGACTACCTAAGAGACACGATACAGATCATTTAAGCCAACATCCCTACATTATTCTGTGCTGTCCAACTGTAGCCACTAACCACATGTGGTTATTTAAACTTAAAAATAGCCCTGGCTGGTGTGGCTCAGTGAATTGAGAGCACCAGCCTGCAAACCAAAGGGTCGGTGGTTCAATTCCCAGGCAGGGCACATGCCTGGGTTGCGGGAAGAGTCCCCTGGTCTCACCAGGGGGCACATGAGAGACAACCACACATTGATGTTTCTCTCCCTCTCTTTCTCCTTCCCTTCACCTCTCTAAGAATGAGTAAATAAAATCTTTATTAAAAATTAAATTTAAGTGTAAGTTAATTTAAGTATATTTAAGTTATTTAAATAAGGAATTTAAGTATAACTAAATAAGTAAATTTAAGTATAAGTTAGTTAGGGAAAGACAAATGCCATATGATCTCACTCATATGTGGAATCTAATGAACAAACTGAACTAACAAGCAAAACAGAGACAGAGTCTTGGATAGAGAGCAGACTGACAGCGAAGGGGGGGGATAAGGACTCATGGACGAGGACAGCACTATGGTGATTGTGGCGGG